AAATGCTTCAAATGTTTTTGCAGGCATGCTTTTGCTAATAAGCAACTACCTTATCATGTCAACTTGTTTTGATAAGAAATAATTTTACAAGAGTATTTTTTAGGTCTAAGAGCTGAATCTACAGTAACAGGTGATTGGTCAGTTGAAGAAATGTCCAAAGTTCTGTTTGAGGAGTCGAGAGAACTGTACGACTTATGTGCCAAGACATTTAATGACGCTTCCATATCTGTAGATGAACAAAACATGGATATGCAGAGAGCAAATACACCAGCAAAGCGTTTTATTTTCATCACTATGGGAATTGTAAGCTTGCTGAACTTCTTTTTTCTATATATCACTAGTAACTCTTTTTTTTAAATTTTGTGGTTTTGTTCGATTGTTTTAGTTGTATTGACACTGTAAAGGTCAAGGCGAATTTACAGATTGGCTCGATAAGGCACATATATTGCATAAAATATTTTACTTTTTGTATATTCTGAATTTGTATATGAAACGTTCACAAAATATAATTATATAATGAAGGCTTTCTCTGGGACCGTCTAACCTATTTGTCATAGCTGGTTTTATCTAAAGAAAAGGAATTAAAATGTTCATTATATCGTTTCAGATTGCTGCTGCTAAGGCGCTTGGATAAAATAACCAAGCCAGCTTACGTTATGGTGGAGTTGTTTTTTCAAATTACTTGTCTGTTTATGAAAGATTATTAAATTGTACTTTAAAACTGTAATTGTGTTTCATTGAAATCGCATCCAAAGATGCATATAAATGACGTGTATTAAACATTTTTAGCTCGACTATTCGATAAGAATGGGAGCTATCCTAGTCACCCGAGCGTCAGCGTCGGCGTAACCACTTATGTTAAAGGTTTTGTAATACCTCAAATATTTTAAAAGTCCATTGACATATAGCTTTGAAACTTTGCACTCATCATGCCCCAAATCTGTAGACAAGAGAAGGTATTTCGACAGAAGAATGCCATTTTTTTCGACGTGAAGTTTGCATACCACCTTAGATATATTCATATTCAATTGACATCTGGCTTTGAAACAAAATTCTTCTTTGAGAGCATAATGGACCTCTCCAATGCCTATAACTGTAACATAGATTTCAAGAAAATTGGCCCTTTCGTTAACTTAGTAAAAGAGCCTTGATAGATAATGTTAAATTTTCTATCGAGCACCAATAGTCGAACATGCTGTCCTACCGACAGCTCTTGTTTAACATTTTATCATTACAACAATGTACTTGTGCATGTAGTGTAACACGTTAATTAACTCGGCCACAGGTACTTGAAAAGTAAATAGTAATCGAATTCCTTTCCCTTGAATCCTGGATATAAAATATCCTTTAAGTTTAGATACTGATGGAAAATTTGTGATGAAACTGTGCTGCACTGAAAGAATGGACCATGTCACCGTGTATATCCAGTAACGCTGGAATGTGCAAGTAACGCAGAGTTGTGCAATTTAGTCGCTAAAACCAAAGGGGTCCAAGACACTTGGGTGTGTTCATAGATAGAGTTATTAACTTACACAAGCCATTTGAGAAATTATGGGGACAATATTTTTTATAGTCTCTATATAAAATATATAAAATTTTGTATTGTGTATATGTATGCGATTTAACCCTTCTCATAACTGTGATTCTATTTATACGACACTTGTAGTTTGACAAATGAGCCGCGTCACAACAAAACCAACATAGTGGGTTTGCGACCAGCATGGATCCAGACCAGCCTGCGCATCCGCGCAGTCTAATCAGGAACCATGCTGTTCGCTATCAGTTTCTCTACTTGTAATAGGGTTGGTAAGCGAACAGCATTGATCCTGATCAGAGTGCGCGGATGCGTAGGCTGGTCTTGATCCATGCTGGTTGCAAACCCACTATGTTGGTTTTGTCGTGACGCGGCTCAAATGTCTTCGGTATAAGACTATGAAATTGTTCTAAAGGCGTTAAATGAACATATTTATTTGACGAAACACAAGTTTATCGGGTTGTCATTCTCACGAATGATCTAATGAAGTAAACATTCCTGAAAATTGTAATGCTGGTTATAGTCTGAGTTTATTGACCTGTCAATTATGCATACATTATAGGACTCATTTAAATATTCGATTCCACTTCGGTTTGGTCCGTGTAGTTTACGAGAATTAATGTGGAGTATATTAATCATGGATTGAAAGTCACGCCAGTTTAATGTGAAAGTTTTCGTTAATTCACAATAGTACAATCGGTAAAGAGAATGCCTAATAATTGAGAGGTCTGGTTCGATCCTCACTGTTGCCATTGTTTTAGTACTCTTTCTTTATTTTTGCAGTATATTTTAATGGAACAAATTTGTAGTGTGTTTTACGAGTTGCATAGATATTTATTGATTTTAATCCGATTTAATTTTTAACATGAATTCTTAAAACATGCTATTTAAAAAGAGTATAGATATAACAAAATTAAGTAAAACATAATAAAACAAAACAACAACATAAAATAATCATAATTATATAGCTTTAATAATTTTGAAAGTATTAATAAGAAAAAAACATGGACCAACGCGGTCTCGAACTTAAAACACGTGTGGCACTTAGATTATAAACTAGTGCTTTACCCTATCGCGCTATATCGCTGAGTACACTTAGTTTAGAGATACAAATTAAATTAAATTCCATCGTACAGCGTACATCTCACGGAACTTACCGAAAATCTACCGAAGATTAATATACTGTGTGCATCGACCGTGTAATCAGTATGTAATTGACAGGTTAATAAAACCAAACAATAAAGTATAATGATGTAGCAGCCGTATGCGCTAATTCATTTCATTAAATTTTATTTAGAATAAAATATTTTTGTTTACTGTGTATATTGTCCAACAACATTGACCTGGCACTTCATTAACTTTCGTAAAGGTCATTTGAATAAACACTGACCAGTATCTATCGAATATACCAATATATTTGCTAACTTCACTCGTCAGTGAGGTGTGGTGTATTGGTATAGATGTCGGACTACCGATCTGAAGGTCTATGGTTTGATCCTTTACAACACCCCATTATGATTTTTTTTTAATTTACTCGCAAGAATTAATTTGAAATAGTTTTACTACACCTAGTTTAACAAAACCTTTATAGTGGTGTTTTTATACACAATTATATTTTTTTATTTTATAACAGTATCATATTTTTTATAACAGTTTCTTTCAACGGTTCCTTTTGTGACATTATGAAATCGTTTATGCTTTAACGCATACGCGCTATAAAGGCAATTATTATAAATACTACACCGTTGGTACACACAAATAAAAGATTTGCAATAGTTTTGAGAGATGGCAATTCTAAATATAAAAAAGTTGCAGTAATAGGATTCAAACCCACCAGAATTCGTCTAAATTCTTCAAGTGAAGTGAAACCTCCTTTACCAACTGCGCTAAGATTGATTTTTAATTTACACAATTTTATCAATTCGATATTTACATTCATATTGATTTACAGGTAGATCGTAACGTTTACGGAATATACCGACAACAGGGTCAAATGCAAGAGTGCCAGGGCAATAGTGTTGTACAATAAAATTTGCCAATGGCGTTGCACATATTCGGCGTAACTTATACGTTATTCGCGCATTTCTACGTTACTGAATATGCACGATGATGTAAACCCAATTGCATCTACAAATAAACAGTAGCGTTTTTGGTCTCTTATGTGTAATAGACGGTTTTTATCTTAACAATGAGAAAAGTCTTACGCCTAACCATGATATTCAGACTTGGTTAGGTATTATTAATTTTATGTATGGTATTAGTTAAACAATGTGTGTGACGGGGAATTTAGAAATAAATAACTACAACAACGGTTTAATATGATCAATCTCGAATTCTTTATTTGGTAAATTTTCAAATCTGTCTCGGATTTTCTTTTTTCACGACCAAGCCCTCAAGTTAGCCGGAAAGCTGTTATCGGCATTTATGCCATGTCTTTAAAGCGCTAAAGTTCATAAGCAATGTTCCATTTCCTTTCATGTGTTTGACAAAAACAACTCAGTTTTGCTTGTATATCATTATCTTCAAAAAAGATATACCCCTTGCAAATTGTTAAATTGCTTTCCCTTTTATAAATCGTTAAAAAGGTACGAATGTGACAGAAATAAATTTTTGTTTTCGAAATGAAATTTTAATGGTATAAAAGAGTGTTACTCGAAGAAATTTAGCAGATGGCAAAATGGACATTTTGTACAATTTGTTTCCTTACGGTTTCAAATAAGACTGCCCTTTTAATTACACCATTTTATGTTCATATTTAATTTCTAATGATTTTTTTAAATAAAATTGCTGGTGGTAGAACACCACTTTGTTGTACCTTTTGAGCCCACTCTTTTCTTTGGTGTCCTGAAAAGTTTTTTCAAACTAGACACATTTATCTCATCAATTTTGAAGACCTAAGTTTAATTGAGAAAGAAAACGAGAACAAAAGTTTTAAAAACAAAACAAATTTACCCAGATTCTCCATCGTCTATAGCTATGTTCCGTTGATGTAGTAAAACTTAAAATTTGATTGCACATAATAGAATCGAATGATTCTAATTTATAACCTAATTTAATGTCTACGTGAACCAGTTTACAGACACAAGTTTTCTTATTTAAGCTTGTATTTATGTAAGGTTAGAGTGAAGATAAGAAAAGCAACCAAATTAACCATTTGTGACATGTAAGTACTTACAAACAAAACAATTTGTTTTTCTCTTACTACTTCATTTTGAAAGAGAAGTGAGCCGCACAGCTATTGCATGTCAACCAAAATATGTAGAACCTACAATTATCAAAACAACTTTGGCTGTTCCAAATGTAAAAGGTAAGTCAACAAAAAAGCAAAAGAAGAATTAATTAATAATTTGAAAAAATCATTTTGCTTGTAACTTGCTTGTATTTAAGATCTAAGTTCTTTTGTTAGTTGTACCTTTTTATTATTTACCAACCATATGGTATAAATTTATACTGTGATATAGCGGAGTAACAAAACTATGCCGACTAAACGAATAGCCTTAAACAGTTAAACTTTAAATTTTTTTGTATTGGCCTTCCGTAAATATTTCACTATAAAATGCCAAGAGAGATAATATTTTTCAAAACAAGGAAAAAACCTTATTAAGGTAAGACATTGTCTTATAATACATTTATTAATAAACAAATACATATCCAGTACATTTTCAATACAAATTTATAACGAATTATTAACTTACCTCAATATATAAAACCGTTATTTTTATTATTTCCAAACGTTATTTCAAATCAACAAATTAAATGACATAATGTTGACATGTAATATGTTTTATCTAAGCAATGGGACTGTGTGTAGTATATGTGGCATATGTGCTGGTGTTGGTGGGATCGGCTCTAGCAGAACCGGCCCTTGATATAAGTAAAATAAAGATCACTGACTGTAATTGTCAAAGATGTCTCTATACTCAGCTTGGTTATGCCATACACGGAACTGTATCTGTGACTTTCGGAGGCAGCAAGGTATATGAAATATTGTATGCTAGAGTAATTAGATAGAGGATATTTGTTTAGTTCAGTGTAAGATCGGAATATATTTCACCGAGTGAGCACCAAAAGGTATATTTCACGAGTGGCGCAGCCACGAGTGAAATATGAACTTTTGGTGTTCACAAGGTGAAATATATTTCGATCTTACACTAAACTAAACAAATTTTCTTTTTATTATATGCAAATAAACGTTTTAAAAAGACATTAAATCTAATACTGAATGAAAAGCGCGCCAAATAATTATACAACGTGACGTCATTTACGACGTCACGTCATTAAGTTGGTACCCAGTACTGTGCACGCTGGTATTTCACTGAAACAACGTAAGGGGCTTAAATTCAAAACAGTGAAATTATCAAAGTGGTAATTTCACTGTTTCAAACAGTGAAATTACCAGTTTTCTATCACTGATATATAGAGGATATTTGTTTAGTTCAGTGTAAGATCGAAATATATCTCACCGAGTGAGCACCAAAAGGTATATTTCACGAGTGGCGCAGCCACGAGTGAAATATGAACTTTTGGTGTTCACGAGGTGAAATCTATTTCGATCTTACACTAAACTAAACAAATTTTCTTTTTATTATATGCAAAGAAACGTTTAAAAAGACATTTTAACTTAGTACTAAATGAAAAGGGCGCCAAATAATAATATAACGTGACGTCATTTACGACGTCACGTCATTAAGTTGGTTTCCAGTACTGTGAACGCTTGTATTTCACTGAAACAACGTACTGGGCTCAAATATTCAAAACAGTGAAATTATCAAATCGATAATTTCACTGCTTCAAACAGTGAAATTACCAGTTTTTAACTCACTGATATATTTCTATAAACCACCGAAAAGCATGTAATAAATTTCTATAAACCACCGAAAAGCATGTAATAATAATACTTAATCTTTCTTATTTTTAAAAAATAATCTACGGAAAGTAACTACATTTTGTTCAATATCGGTACATATTGAATTGTTTCCCTTAAATTTGAACGACATTTGGCGAGAATTAACATTTTATAAAGCCAGTTTTGCTGATAACATTTTACAAATCGTAGCATAAATTGATTAGAAGAAGTAAATAATGGATGAAATATATATATGAATGTTTCTCGTGGGACTAGTTCCGAAATGGCCGCTTCGTGAGCCGCGATGTTGTTAAAATAAATGGTTACCGATTTCTATCCGCCTGGCGTCTGGCATAGTGGTAGGAGTTGGGAGGTACATATAGTATGCAAGCAAAAGGTGTCTCATAAGTCAGAAATGGCTGGCCCTTTCAGAAGGGGCGACACTATAATAAACAAGAAATTTTCCTTTACCTTTTATTTACATGTTTTTTTTTTACCTGTACTGAGGTTTCCATATTGTGTTTCTAAAAACAAATACTAAATTAATCTGTCCGCTAGTCTTTGTTCTGTACCATAGCGTATTGTTTGACACCAAATATTGAAAATAACTGTGAACTCCAACGGTGATTACAGTAATTTCCCTTACTTTTTTACCTTAGCGGTCTACACGAATTTATGATTTTCGGCACCCCCCCCCCCCCCCCCGCGAATCTATTTAAACATTGTGAATATTTGTATAGTGTTGTTGTGTAGACCCAAAAAATGGACCTTTCTGCGAAAATTTGCTTCCGCGAATTCAAATACACATACAGTATTTTTTAATGACTAAATTGTATCTTAGGCATACTGATCTTAATAAAGATATAACTTTAATCGTTCAGTTTTGTTCACCAAGCTGAAGTCATAAATATAAAAACGTCAAAGATACTTTTTGCAAGTTATAGGCATCGCCATGTCTAATCTTGTAAAAGGTCAAATCCAATGTGCCTTTGCAGCATAATCATTGTTTCATGTGTTATTAGTGCAGTGGGCCACTGACTAGTTTTGTCTGTACTGAGATGATGTGTCTGTTCTAAAAACAAACTCCAACAGATTACAGATACTTCTTACATAAATAATTCAAAGTACTATCAATTATAATTTATTTTAGGTAAGTTGTTCTGATGAAGCTATTATAACTTTTGGAGGTTCAGTAATCGGTTGGAACTACAACTGCCCCATTAGCGGCTCGTCAAGTGGAATATTTGAAGTATCATATAACTACGGGAATCTTCTATGTGGTACGACCTTCGACAGAGTGTTACTACATAGATGCTCTGGAACACCGTGTAGTTCATTCGGCTGAAGAAAAATGTTTTACGAATGGTACAAGCTAACTATATCAACCCTTTGTTGTGAATATTTTCTGTTTTTATGATTTGTTGCCTTTTGTTCTCGGACAATAAATGTATATAACATGTTGTAGTTTTGTTTTAAAAGACACATTACTGTCTTTAAGTATGTTTATGTTTGGGACCTCCATGGTTCAGCAGACAAAGTCGTTGACTTTAAATCACTTGCTACTGATCACAGTCGGTTTCGAATTCCCGGAAATTATCTTGCATTATATCATATGAGAACTAACTAACTAACTAACTAACTAACTAACTAACTAACTAACTAACTAACTAACTAACTAACTAACTAACTAACTAACTAACTAACTAACTAACTAACTAACTATTTAACTAGCTAGCTAACTAACTAACTAACTAACTAACTTACTTACTTACTTAATTACTTACTTACTTACTTACTTACTTACTAAGTAACTAACTAACTAAGTAACTAACTGACTAAGTAACTAACTTACTAAGTAACTAACTTACTAAGTAACTAACAAAATAAGTGACTAATTAACTAAGTAACTACCTAAGTAACTAACTAACTATAACTAAAACTAACTATAACGTCCTATAATTAACACTTACTATAATTAAAACTTACTATAACTAAAACTAACTATAACTAAAACTAACTATAACTAAAACTAACTATAACTAAAACTAACTAAAACTAACACTAACTTTAACTAACACTAACTATAACTAAAACTAACACTAACTTAAACTAAAACAAACTATAGTTAAAACTAACTAAAACTAACACTAGAACTAAAACTAATTAGAACTAACACTAGAACTAAAACTAACTAGAACTAAATCTAAAACTAAGTAAAACTAAAACAACATGTATAATTAAAACTAACTACACTTTAAACTAAAACTAACTTTAACAAAAACTAACTATAACTTAAACTAAAACTAACTATAACTAACTAACACTAAAACTTACTATAGCTAAAACTAAAACTGGTGGAATATTTAGAAATTATTGAAGAGAAGATGGATTTCGTGAGCATGAGGTCTATTAGAAAGTATCATGAATAAATTAATATTTTAAATGAACAAAAAAGTTTTACTCTTTCCCAGTTACGGTAGCACAAAAGCGCTGATAATTGTTTCCTTGAACGGCTTTCAGCGTTATTCATTATTGCTGATGAATGGCTATCGATGTTATCATTAAAAAGATGCGAACGGCTGATGACGTTACTAAAATTTGATGACACTCAAACTTAAATACCCTATAAATTTAACAGAAAAGCATCTTTGAAGGTATTGTTTGGAATATTTAATGACGAAATGTTGACGTTTACGAATCGTATGATAAAAGGATTTATTATAAATAAAAAAATTGTTTTGTGACTTTAAAAACAAATGCTGCATCTCATCGGATAGTGTGGTTATTTTCAGTCAAAATTCACGTGAAGTAAAGCTTGCACAGGGCCAGAAATTTGTTAGCATGCTCCTTTGGATGTTGACTATGAATCCATAACATTGATTTACTCGAACACAGTTGGGATATGTTAAAAATAGATGAATACTTACCGTCCGTCAATTGTGTTTCCTGCGCCGACATGTATATACCGGTACAGCTGTCGACGCTTGAACTGCTGTCTGCCCATTTGATTGTACGGTGTGTATATGGCCTTTTTATATTGTTGGTGTTGTAGCGTGTATTGTTAAAAAAGAAAAATGCTGTGATTGATTCTGTTTTCCTGTCACATTTAGCCCACAAAAATTTACTGCACATATGTTATGGAAGACAACGGTGCAGCAATATTGCCAAACAAAACGTGTGTTATTCCTAAGATTCAATGTCACGAACAAATACAAGTTGTACAAATGTTTTATTTGCCTATACATTCTACGCGTCCCAAATATTTGGTACTTAGGTATTCTTTTGATTTTGTATTTATTTACTGAATTATTTTCTAAAAAAAGAAAAAAAAAACACACAAACAAAACAAACAACACAACAACATTTAAGGAATGTGAAATAAAGTAAGTAACAAGTTAAATCAACAAATTTACATACATGTTTAGATGACAGCTTTGAATGTAAGGTAGATTTGAATCTACACATAATACAAAGTTGTACTTTGATATTTTTAAAACCTTTTCATTAACTTAAATTTTACATGACGTGATTTAAAAGATAAAAGTACAAATATAGCTGTAATTTGTAAACAAAATGTTTTAAATTCACGAGAAGAAAAGAAAACAAGTCTGTGTACGTGAGCGTAAATTGTAAACAAGTTGTACATGTATTTTGGTACTGAAACCGGAAAATATCAAAACTTTAAAAGGGTTGTTCAAGAAAATTTATCAATAAGTCACTCTTTATTGCCTTAAAATATCCTTGTCATTCGAAACTGTATTGGTCATTGAATAAGTTCAAACGTAGCAAACCAATATAAGTTTGTATGACAATGTTACAGTTGAATGAACGAATATATAGGAACTAGACATATAAACTTGTATATGTTTTGTATCATGGCAACAACCCTGTTTCGTATTAAGGTAACTCAAAAACGAGAACGGTGATCCCATTTTTTTCGCTTAACATTTTTCTGTTATCATATTCTAACAACATGCCAAGTTTAAATAAATTCTATTACATTTGTAATATGGTATATATTTATCATAGAATCTGGTTTACATTTCACATGTAATATAGTATACAATAAACATGTACATTGTAATATGGTATACTTACAACATCTAATACGGCAAACATTTAACATGTAATATGGATTACATATAACATTAAATATGGTATACATTTAACATTTAATTTGGTATCATTTAACATGTACTACGGCAAACATTTAACATGTTATATGGTATACATTTAACATTTAATATGGTATACATTTAACATGTAATATGGTATACATTTAACATGTTATATGGTATACAGTTAACATGTAATATGGAATACATTTAACATGTTATATGGTATACATTTAACATGTAATATGGTATACATTTAACATGTAATATGGTATACATTTAACATGTTATATGGTATATATTAACAAATAATGTGGAATAAATCTAACATATAATATGACATACCTTTTTCAATTGACAAGGTATACTTTTAACACATTATATGTTTTATAATTATGTTTCACATTTAAAATGTAATTAATATGATATACATTTAACATTTTATATGAAATACATTTAACAAAGGTATTCATGTCTACTTTAACCAACAAATCATTGAAAAATACAAAGCAGCGAAATATGAATGGTTGAGAAAAAGTTCGCAAATGCCGACATGTAATTTTAGAGTATTTACTAAGCATTATTACAGTTTTGTCTATTATTTATCTAAACTCGATTTTTATATTGTCATGAGAAGAATTTGTGTTAAAATTGAAATATTTACTATCATTAATGATCAATTGTTCACAATCTTATACAATTTCTATAAACATACAGGTATGTCATTTGAATTTTATTATTTTCGTACCAGCCCTTCATATTGTAATATATTATTATTGTGCAGCCCCAAATTCTATTTCAGTTTGTTTGGATGACATTGGAAAAAGTAACAGGTATGTTTTCCAAAACTTTATTCCTGTTCTTCGACGAAATTATAAATCAGTATCTTTTAACAGTCTAAGCTGAAATTAACTTTTACCGTTTCACGCTCGTTCAAAAAAATCTACTTTCATATGCTTTTAGAACTATGTTTGTATTGCTTTATTTTGGTTTATTAGACAACAAATCCATAACATATTTACTTTTACAATCCACTTTCTAATGAATAAGTTGCTAAATTTGTTGGAAGTTCTAGTCCAACAACCGGTTTAAGATTGAACATTTCTAAAGCCGGTGCTATAGATCTATGAGATATTTTACTTTTTGGTGACTCTCATTGACAGACTACAAATGTATCACAGGTTGAGAAAAATGTGCAACCTGACTTGGACTCGAACCCGGAATCTTCGGAATACCTCTCCGCGGCTATACAGACTGTGCTATCCTGCTGCCTAAATAGTGAACAGTTCTGAGCCGTTACAAATTTCCCCGCTACCTCGAATGTCACAGGATGAGAAAAATGAACATTTGGACTGGGACTCGAACCCAGGAGCTCGGAATACCGTGCCGCGGCTCTACCCTGAGCTTTCCGGCAGCCTACACACTTTCTCTCCTGATTAGTGAACAGTTCTGAACCATCACCTATGTTCAGCGCTCAGTTTTATTATCAAGTCAATCTTTATTTGAAAGACTCCTACCGTAATCTCGGATCATGTTCCAACCCGAACATTGCTTAATAAGGTTGTATGTATCTCAATAAGTTTGTAAAAATATTGAACTAATGTTAACAATAATATATTCTTTTTCAGTAATGAAGCTGTGCACATCAATTCTTCTTTTGTTGCTCCTGAGTTCTGTCTTGGCTGGACCTGCTCCAGATATAAGTAAGATAGAGATCACTGGCTGTGATTGCTCAAGGTGTTACTATACACAGATTGGGTATGCCATACGCGGCACCGTGTATGCATTGTTTGATTATAGTAGGGTAAGCAAAAGTTTCTTTTTAAAGATAATTGTTTTCCTTAGCATAGTGTAAGCTCTTACATTGAATGTTTTAAGAACCATAAATAGCATCAACATCAATTGTTTTTTATCTTTGACTTTTATGAAAACACGGTGTGTTGAAGATAAATAGCATATTAATTTAGAATATAAGAATCATTAATCTTAAACTTTATTCACTTTTGTATAGTTTCAACCTACGGTAAGACATTCTTAATAGCATGACCAATCAAAATGAACGTCATAAAAAGTATTTTAATGAGTATGACCACTTTAATTCATTTTTTTGGTATACATATACGTTTGATAATTTGATAATATATCTGCAGGTCAGATGTACTTCACAGGCGATTGTAAATTACTGGAGAATGGTAATAGGGTGGAACTATTCGTGCCCAGTCAAGCCAACGGGAAAGTTCGAAGTTAAATATATAACCTCGCGGCCTCTAATGTATGGACTTACCTACGACAAGATTTATGTGTGCGACTGTACAGCTCAATCTTATCCATGTTAAACTGATGTAAATATTTCTCAATGAAATAAAGATTGCACAATATAAGACTACATTAATTTGCTCTTTGTTTTTTTAACTGATATATGGTTAACAAATGGTATCTTTATACCTACATATATAAATTGTTTTCGTATTGTGATTTATGTAGTGTACACATTTTATTCTTACAATAAATTCCTGAGTTGATTTGTTTTAAGGCTCTCCACGTTAGGTCTACAATACTTCAATAAAGACCCATCAAAATGCACGCTGAACTGGTGAGATTATAAATATAAAGCTTGAAAATTATACAGCTCACTGTCCTCTTCTTACATACATTTATAATAGGAATGATTTATGTCTCCTAAGATACATAACAAAGTAAACTTAAATATTGCACGAGTTACTGACATTAACGTAAAACATTGTAAACTAATTAACATGATAAAGTATCCTTTGAAACTCCGTAAATATATGTAGGCCTATATGTTCAATTTCAATTCTTTGATTTTTAAGATTTTAGTTGTCAACAATGATTTTTCATTTGCTCTTAAATGCCATAGAATGAAAACAATTGTTATGTTTAAATGGGTTTATGTTATTTTAAAACGAAACAATTAGTAATGGGACGGACAAGTATGCGCAATGACGATGCGCAATTCAGGAAAGGTCGTCTGCAAATGATTTTGTAGAACAAAAAAAGAATAAACTTCACATGCTGAAAGAAAGTGGAAAAAAACACACACACACACACACGCGCGCGCACCAACCCACGCGCACGCATGCACGCAAGCACGCACACAACTAAGCTTAAATTAGATATTTCAAAAGATTATTACATGTATCAAAATCATGAATTATGAATTATATTCTGATCTTTTTAGTAAAAACATCCGTAGCCCCAAGCATATCTCCGTTGTACCAAAAAGTCGGTAAGGTTATACATTATCTATCATTAACGACACAGTATATCGGAATTGTTTGAATTTCAAAACAAACATCCATTGCCCGACTTTTTTTTCTATGTTTTTACTTTTCTAAAAGTACACAAAGTATGAGTTTTAAAGATTCTTCAAAAATGGAATTGAAACAAATGCGTAAGGAAGTATTTGCATTTCTTTTAAAAAGGGATCAGTTAACATAAAAGTTCAAATAAACATCTAAAACTGTGCACATGGTTCAAATCATATTACTACCGGAAGAAAAAGACAAAACAAAAAAACCCCCCAAAAAACAACAAAAAAAAAAACAACACATAAAACAAGATAAATTCACTAATTTGACATTGACTGTTTTACGTTTCTTTCTTTCTTTCTTTCTTTTTTTCTTTCTTTCTTCTTTCTTTCTTTCTTTCTTTCTTTTCTTTCGTTTTTAAATCCAAACGATTATAACTTGTGTTCTTTTTCAGTAGAATTACCCTTAAAATTCATGTTTGATTCTTAAACAGATGCACGTTCAACTTTTTAACAGATTCACGTTTAAGCTCTTTATAGGTAATGAAACTAAAACTAATACTGAAGGTTTAATGTTTTATGTTATTTTTAGATAAATCGTTTCATACAATTGTTAAACCAAAATAATTATGGCGGAAAATGAAATTTGCCGACGATTAAACACCAAACAACATCAAAATTCAACTTATTGTTAAACAGATGAATTAAATCCGTTAAAGTTAATCGTTTGTATGTATGTCGTAATTATGTTCTATGTTGTTTTTTCCGCTAAAAATATTGATAGTATCGGCAGTCACCGGAGTTTTCTTCATTTCGCAATTTAATGTTAATTTTATGATATAAAAAAACTGTAAGGTATACCACAAACCAGGATGTTGTTGTTCTTAACAGCTAAAAGGGTTGGCCATGAATTTCATTCCTGTTATATTTATTTCTATTTAATTGATGGTATATAATAATAATAATAATAATAATAATAATAATAATAATCATCATCATCATCATTATCATCATTATTATAACCATCAATCATCATCATACTCAGTCTATCAATCACCATCATTCATCAGAACAATCGATCAATCAACATCATAAATTATCATTATCATAATCATTTTCGACATCATAATTATTTTCATTATCCTCACCATAATCATGATCAACGACGACATTTACAACCATTAGAATCGTTGTCATATTCTTCATAAGCGATATCATTTTATAAAATAATGGTGATGATGATGATAATGATGATATTTTTATACATATATAATGATAATTTTAATAATACTGACAACATTATAAAAAAAAAATGACACCAATGAAGCAAAACATCATCAAATATCAAAATCAACATTTATAATAATAATAATAATAATAATAATAATAATAATAATAATAATAATAATAAAAAATCATCATCAGCAACAGAAGCAACAACAGAAGCAGCAACAGCAGCAGCAGCAACAGAAGCAGCAACAGAAGCAGCAACAGAAGCAGCAGCAACAACAGAAGCAGCAACAGAAGCAGCAACAGAAGCAGCAACAGCAACAGAAGCAGCAACAGCAGCAGAAGCAGCAGAAGCAGCAACAGAAGCAGCAACAGAAGCAGCAACAGAAGCAGCAACAGAAGCAGCAACAGAAGCAGCAACAGCAGCAACAGAAGCAGCAACAGAAGCAGCAGCAACAACAGCAGCAGAAACAGCAGCAGAAGCAACAGAAGCAGCAACAGAAGCAGCAGCAGCAACAGCAGCAGAAACAGCAGCAGAAGCAACAGAAGCAGCAACAGAAGCAGCAACAGAAGCAGCAACAGAAGCAGCAACAGAAGCAGCAACAGCAGCAACAGCAACAGAAGCAGCAACAGAAGCAGCAACAGCAGCAGAAGCAGCAGCAGAAGCAGCAGCAGAAGCAGCAACAGAAGCAGCAACAGCAGCAGAAGCAGCAGCAGAATCAGCAGCAGAAGCAGCAACAGCAACAGCAACAGAAGCAGCAACAGCAGCAGAAGCAGCAGAAGCAGCAACAGAAGCAGCAACAGAAGCAGCAACAGAAGCAGCAACAGAAGCAGCAACAAGCAGCAGAAGCAGCAGCAGAAGCAGCAGCAGAAGCAGCAACAGCAACAGCAACAGAAGCAGCAACAGAAGCAGCAACAGCAACAGAAGCAGCAACAGAAGCAGCAACAGAAGCAGCAACAGCAGCAGCAAATTCTTCATCATTACCATCATGCTTGTTACTTCAACATCAACATCATGATAATCGACATTTGCACAAATTATTATAATTTTACTTTACGTTGTTTTTCAAGACATATAGAATGAATGCAGGAAAATGATTTTTTTAATATCCCTGAATGTTTGTTATAAAAAATGTATATGTGGAAAGTATAAAAACAGGAAAAGTAAACATGTATTTGTTCAGTAATTGTAAGAAGACGAGACAGGTAAGACTGTTAATATTTTGTATTTGTTTTTCAACTGATTATGTTATTTTACCTTCATGAATATATTAAAATGGTTGACAATAGTCGGATTTATTAAAGTTATTAACTCACATGTCAAAATAAGATATCAAAATATTTCAATATTGTTCGATTTAACAAAATTTTGTATGGGACATAAAAATGGCAACAGAAAAAGCCATTAAAATTATAAAGCTAAACATAGAAAACTTGCAGAAAGAATATCTTTATGATTATTTGAAGAAATGAAACTTTGGAATGAAACTATCACAATAAATGTAGAAAATCGTTATCAATAATAATAATAATAATAATAATAATAATAATCATAATAATCATAATAATAATAATAATAATAATAATAATAATAATAATAATAATAATAATAATAATAAATGTTTCAAACCTTTCGAAACCTCGAAACGTTGAATAATAATAATTATGATAATATTTCATTATAATAATAACAAACAGTAAATACCTACAAGTAGCTAGGTAATGTACGAGTTTATATGTCGTTGTTTAAAATGATATTTTTTTTCTACCTTCAGTTAGTTAGCAATTTTATTCACTTAATCTTTACAATAAGAGCAGAAATTTTATTTAGACATGTACATTAACATCTTACTATCTTTACATATTATGTGTAGGTTAGTGTTTACTGATGGATTGAGTTGGCCAAGAACGGCTGAAATGTAAAAAATATACAGTTGGAATAATTTACGTTCTATATTTAGAACATAATTCAATTTTTACGTGCATGTATAAGTGGATATTTGTTTGCCTTTTTTTTGGGTGGGTGGGGGGGGTGGGGGGGGGTGGGGGGAGGTGGTTTGAAAGTTATATATACAATGTATACACGGAAATAAAGGAAAATTAAATTTATCAAGGCGCAATAAAATTTAAAACAATTCATGTAATTGAAATATATGTATTTGGTTTACGCACAATGTAAAGCTCAATATTTTGTTAACTAGGAGGCCTTTACGCTTGAATTGCTTAGACATCCTTGTGATATGAGGCTTAACGAAACGTGTCAATAACGTTACATACAGATGTATATTGAATTAAAGGTACGAAAATAAATGAAACCTTACGATGACGTAAATCCCAGACCCCTACTTTTAAAATCTACAGTCATAGATACAAAGAACTATTCTACAAATTACAGACTGTCAAAATACAGATATTTATTTCTTACACACGTGACATTTTGTGATCTGCACCGGCTCAGTTAAGGCTTTCTGTCATAACTTATACAATATTTCATTATTTTAGATGGGATGAAGTGTAGAGCCTATTCGTTCTAGTCAATAATCTAAAATCAAAATGACTTTTTGTAAAAAATCAATATTTTTCTTTTCATAAATTGAAACAGCGAGTTTCGACTATCCGAAATTCACACTGTTTTCTGACAAATAATAAATAAAAAAAAAAAAAAAAAAAAAAAAAAAACAACAAAAAAGCAACAAAAAAAAAACAACATTATATATCTGGGTTACTCAGCGGGCTCTACACCTTACCCATGAATAATGAATATAATTTAAAAAATGATATCTGGAAGACTGATTTTAATATTGATTTTCTGCCCGAACAGATCACAAAAAATCAAGTGTAAATTTATGTCGTCATTTCACTCGTTACTCAAATACATTGTACTTGCTCGTGGTTTTTCAGATAACAGTATGATGGACGGTATATATCTCTCAGTTTTCATTACCCTTGTAGTCGTGGGTTCAGTAGTAGCACCTCCAGCTTCAAGGATCAGCGAGATCAAGATAACCAGATGTAGCTGCACCAGCTGCTCGTTCAAACAAATTGGTTACGGATACGTTTATGTTTCGTTCAATAGTGCAAGGGTATACTGATATTACTATTATATATTATTGTTTCGAACTTATATTTATGAATATTCTATTTTGTGTACTTGTTTTCTTATTATCTATTGGTTTAAACATATTTATTTAAGTTCTATTGTGAAACAAGTCTTGCAACTTATATTAATTCTTAAGTGCCCGTTCCCTGGAACCAACCAGTGCTGGTGTCAATATGAAGAATCATGCACATGGCCCGATTAAGGCATTAACTCATGATCCCATGTTCAAGTCAAGCGACTTGACTTCGGCGACAATGAAGACGACAATGATGACGAAGATGATGGTGTTGATGATGATGATGATGCTGAATTTCTGATAATGATTGAGATGCTTTTATTAACCAGTAAATAACTAGTTATGCTAAAATCTCATGAACCCATAAAATTACTTTCTAAACTACACATCCAAACAATTTCTTTTTACGGAAACGGTAGTTTTGTTAATTTTATCTTGCTCAAATATATTTCAGGTATCATGCACTAAATCCGCCATTTTACGAGGAAGAACAGTAATCGGGTGGAATCACAATTGTCCAATATCTAGTTCATCTGGAAAATTTGAAGTAAAAGCTGGAAATATTTGTGGAAAGGATTACGACCGTGTGTATCTGAACAATTGTAAAGGATATCCCTGCAGTGGTATAGGTCGTTAGAAAACAGACCATTTGACAATATTGCAATGTTACAGTGTTTCCATTCTGTCAACGTGTTGCCCACTGGACATTAATATGATACGAAATAATACAGTAGAGTAGTAAGAAAATAAAAAAAATGAGAAATTATATAATGCGATCAGTGCAAAACGAATTATGGTCTATAACATAATAAATATTTTTACATGCTTCATGTTGGCTGTTGATAGTATGTATAGATATGTACCGATTAAAGTAAATAGTTTATGGCCCAGTATGCTTTTATTTTCATTTCTTAAAACCCTGTATTTATTGTGTCCCATTATAGTTTGTAAAAAGTAACGTACTGGCCAATTACTAGTATCCGAATCATCTTTTGCTTCTGTTGTTTTTAGGCAATGAGTACAAATATATTGATTTAGTACTGTGTATGAAAGTCGAGACTCTACATGTACTTTGTTTATACTATGCTGCTAGTGAGTAATTACTCATTCAGCACTCCTTTTCAGGTAATAAACATCTAACATGTATTAAACCATAATTTTACAGTAACAAAATTCCCTTTTGCCCTCTGTAAACGATATTTTTTATATTTATTTCTGAAGCATAGTGTGCCTTTAAAAAGAGATTATATACTTCTTGAAATATTTTAAACACATTGGTCTCTCTCATCAACTTACTCATACAGAGTAACATCTTAAAAAGTAAACCACTTCTGTTCATGGTCGGTACTGGAAAATGCTAGGTATCATCCACGTCCCCTATAAATGGGCTAAAACAGAATTCAACATTGAATATGAAATGGGTAACATTTTGAATATATAAAAAAACGTCCGCTGTCATGTTCATTCTGCCGTTGCAACGAAGCCTCAGTGTAACACGTCAGTGCCATTCCACGACACGAGGCGTGTGCCCTAAACAAAAATTATGGATGCAGTAAAACGGTTTAGCTTTACAGGTGGCAGAAAACACCAGGTGTCTTTTATAGAATCATGTCAGGCTCGAGCGATACGACTCCTTATGGTACAAGATAAACATCTTGAGACCAACGTTGTATTGCTTGCGGCGGCAAATCTTTAAAAGTATTTTTCACAAGACGTTGACGCGCTAATGGCGCTGTTGTTATTACGTGCAGTCCTTGTGCCGTTTGCTGATATCATTATATGCTGGTCATTGGAGTAGAAATCACAAGACCTGTTTATTTTTTTTTTTCGACGATTTTAAAACATTTTTTGACAGTCAAGAACAGTTGGTAAAATTTACTCTTGTAGGAATTTCATCGACATAAACACACTTCTCGTGTATTTCTTTTTAGCCATTCAACAACAGCTTTAATTCGATTGAATATATTTTTAGGCGAGGATGTTGAAGTTATATTAAATCCTTTCCTCCTAAATGTAAAGTAATTATACGAGCTTCTGAATATAATCAATATTGCCTTCTCACATAACTATCCTCCCCAAAATATAGAAATTCATATTATATGGTATATAACCGTGTTGTGTAAGTGCTACTGATATACAGTGTGACAATTTTATAATTATCTATGACATTGATTGATATCACTCTTAACTTTTATCTGATTGATTGAGTTTGATTTTCTCTCAGAATATTAGCCACATTCAGAGCGTTTCTGCCATCATCGGTTTAAAAAATATTCTGTCTACAACGGTAGAATCTTCACTTCGACCGGACAGGTTTGAACGGCGGTAACATTCTCAAAAAAAGAAGGCACAGCTGGTTGCCCAACGAATAGCCTCCAAAGATATTTGGCAAGCCTTAGGATGACCTTTTATAATAATATTTTATGTGCATTACTCAAAATTCGTTCATTTATCTTAAATTTGAGATATTTTGAAGCAAACATTAAATATTTTCACGAAAGTTTTCCCGAAGCTGGTAATAAATCCGCTCATCTTATGCAGATGCCCCAGTCAATGGACAGTAAGTTTATAACAACAAAATTGTCATTATTTAAAAAAACAACAACAAAAAAAGCCAAAAGACTTTAAAATCTTTATCGAAGGCCACTGTCCGAAGACCTCACAATTATGTCATTGCGATGTTTTATCATCCCAATGTGAGAAAATATCACAAAAATGTCATGTGATGTTGTGTCACGGTAATGCAAGAAGAAGTGACCATAATCTACTGGTGATATATTGTCATGGCAATGTGAAAGGAGCTCATAATTATGTCATAGTAATGTATAGTCATGGTAATGTGAGAAAAGCTTACAGTGATATTATTATTATGTGTTGTCATGGTAATGTGAGGAAAGCTCTTAGTGCTATCATAGTAATGTGCTGTAATATTATGTGTGAGAAGAGCTCACAGTTATGTCATGTAAATGTGTTGTCATGGTAATGCGAGAAAAGCTCACAATAATCTCATAGTAATGTGCTGTCATACTATGTGTGAGAAGAGCTCACAGTTATGTCATGTAAATGTGTTGTCATGGTAATGTGAGGAAAGCTCATAATAATATCATAGTAATGTGCTGTAATATTATGTGTTAGAAGAGCTCACAGTTATGTCAGGTAAATGTGTTGTCATGGTAATGTGAGAAAAGCATACAGTGATATTATTCTTATGTGTTGTCATGGTAATGTGAGGAAAGCTCATAGTAATGTCATAGTAATTGCTTTCATAGTAAGAGTGAGAAGAGCTCACAGTTATGTCAGGTAAATGTGTTGTCATGGTAATGTGAAAAAGCTTACAGTGATATTATTCTAATATGTTGTCATGGTAATGCAAGAAAAGCTCACATTAATCTCATAGTAATGTGCTGTCATACTATGTGTGAGAAGAGCTCACAGTTATGTCATGTAAATGTGTTGTCATGGAAATGCGAGAAAAGCTCATAGTGCTATCATAGTAATGTGCTGTCACAGTATGTGTGAGAAGAGCTTACAGTTATGTCATGTAAATTTGTTTTCATGGTAATGTAAGGAAAGCTCATAGTAATATCATAGTAATGTGCTGTCACAGTATGTGTGAGAACAGCTCACAGTTATGTCATGTAAATGTGTTGTCATGGTAATGTGAGAAAAGCTTACAGTGATATTATTCTAATGTGTTTTCATGGTTATGTAAGGAAAGCTCATAGTAATATCATAGTTTTGTGCTGTCATAGAATGCTTGATAAGAGCTCACAGTAATGTCATGGTAACGTGCTATCATGGTAATGTGAGAAGAGTTCACAGTATTATTATAGTAATTGTTGAAATAATAATGTGAGAAGAGCTTACAGTAATAGCATAATGATGTGTTGTCATGGTCATGTGAGAAGAGCCAGAAGTTATGTCATAGTGATGTGTTGTCATGGTAATGTAAGCAAAGTGCACACACTGTGGGTAAGCAACTTAGGTCATGTGACCACAAAAGTCAACGTACAAGGCCAAAATAGCTCGGCTGAGGTATTTTTTTTAGTGATTATTTTTCTGTCAAGCCGATTTAAATTATGCTACATAGCCTACCGACCGCGGCAGTTCCGATGCTTTCTAAAAATGTATTTAGTTTCGTCTAACGTTTTGTATTTTATGAGAACATTCAAACAATATTTGCAAATTGTCGATGACAACGTACACACTATTGTGTGAAAGTGTTGATGAAAACTTAATAAGCGATACGCACGTCAGTTCTAAGTAAAATTTCAGATCTTAAAATATATAAGAGAATGTTTTAATGAAAAAAGAACTGGTTTCCTGCTGTCATGTTTTGTATTTATTTAAAGATTGACCAACTTACAAAAATGTCAACGTACACTTACAGTCTAGAAAATGTCAACGTACACACTCACAATTCAGTTTGATAGTGGTCTAAACATGAGGATGCAACTTCGGAGTAGGTTTTCTTTTCTTACAAAAAGTTGGCTTTCAATTTAGATTGCCCTCTGAAACTGTATACAAGTACAGGTTTATACAAAGGAAAAAAGTTGCAAGTACATTCATATCATCACAAATAAGCTTAAACAACCTTTAACTTTTTTATAATGTCATTTATTTGTTCTTTTGTGATTTTCTTTTTTAGAAGAAAAAATCCAGTTACTCAGACTGCTTAATGATTTGATGAAGCAGCAGTTTTATATACTGTATTAATTTAGATCATTTTACATTTAATAACGAAAACAGCCAGGATAAGCATCTCTTGCTTAACCAACCTAGTGGCTTCTGTAGCAACAAAAGTTTCCACGCCGAGTGACTAGTTTATAGGTATTACCGGTATTTCAGCAGTTATGTCACTTTAACCCTTTGATTACATCACGAACGTTCTATTAACATTTTATTTTCAATAATATATCTCCTTGCACTAGTTATGTAATTGCCACATGTTATTGACATTGTTATTTAATACATGGACTAGCTTAATAGACGTGATATGTATTTTTGCATTTACAGTTTTCTTTGCCCTTTCTGTTCACTGCAAAGTTTGCAAACCATGTCTGCTAATTTACAAGTCTATGATATGTATTCAACAAAAATGCTCAAGTGCCATACATTTTAATAATTTGCATTGCAATCAAAATTTTAAATTCAAGCAAACCATTTTATTTGAGCAAAATGTCGATAAAATGTCTGCATTGTAACAATCATTTCAATATATATTGTGGCATTTCTATGATTACTAGTGGGTCATATGACTGTTGTACTTGATATAACTTTTTAAATGTTTAAACAATGTCATTGATTCATATCTATAGCTCATACATTGCGCACAAAATAAGATAGGTTAATTTATTACTAGAAACCATTTTCCGGTAAATTTATAACTAGTAACCATTTTCCAGTAACTGGTTTCTTGAGCAGTCAAAGCATTTTACTAGAAACTTGGTACTAGTAACTAACCATTTAACAAAAGGGTAATTTGTTGCCTTAACCAACCTATAAAATTGTGAATTGTTTATAAGATATTTTTAACATAACAAGTGCAAGTAGATATATTCTTAAAAATATAATGTTAATAGAACATTAGTGATGTAATCATAGCTAGGGATCAAGTGACGCAACTGCTGAAAAACCGGTAATATAAAATTGTAACTCGGCGTCATCGTCAACCTTGGACCCTTTTGCTGCTACGGAAGGCACTAGTTGGTTGAGCAAGAGACCCTTATCCTGGCTGTTTACGTTATTAAGATGACTGTTATTACGATATATATTGT